AATATTTAGCATTGTTATTTTAAAGATGCTTCTCTGCTTGAACACGCAGTGTGCAAATTGAAGCCTGACTGGTTGACTGCCTTGGGGAAAAGGGTTGCTTGCTCTATGTTGGTAAAGACCACCAAGAACTTTGAATTTGGAGCCTTGTGCCTTGCTGCTTTTATAGATGGCAGGTGGTATCTAGTCTTTTCTGAGCTTGAGAAAGAAACGGGGAAAAAGAACAGTGAGTTTGGAGACGCCTGTTTCTGTTATATATCTACCTGGAATAGGATGAACTGGTGGCTCTGCTCCTCCTCAGTTGCATGACTGTGAGCTGCTCTGGTGCATAATTTTAATTTCTCCTTGGTAACCTTTACTTAGGGGAAACTACTGCAGTGTGGTCTCTGAAAACAGTGCATCAGGTTTACTGCCTGGAGCACGTCCGCCCCTGTACTGCCGGTGCCTGGCTGGTCGATGCAGGTGGGGTGGTGCTGGCACGCACGCCAAGAGCTGTGCTTGCTCCCTGCCCTTCCCCGTGCACGGCGGGGAAGGTGCGGGTGCCCAGGCTCCATCGCCCGCTCACACAGGGCGCCTCGCGGACTGCGCGGGCACTCGCTGCTGCCTGGCGCCTTGGTAGCAGATCAAGTGCGTGTCCTGCGTGGAGGGCTCGTTAGCAGCGTAACCCACACAGCCCGGTGCTTGAGAGGGAAAGGTGGGGATGTTACACAGGAGTTTCTGAATGTCTCAGCAAGATTGTGCGTCGTCTACCATCGCATCCTCCCGGGTTTTCCATGCTCCGATATAAACTCCCTTGTTCAGCATTAGAAACCTGCTCTTGTTCTGTACTGCTATCTCTTGCCAGTGTAAAGCGGGATAACTAACTCAGCATCAGGTGTGACTTTCTGATAGACGCTAGTGATGGTCATGGTGGGGGGGAGGCATCTCAAAAGGCAATGGTTTTGTTCAACCAAAATTTTAAGCCTTCTTTTGAGCAAAGGCTCATGGATTCATCAGCATCTTCCTTAGCATTTATGAGGTTGTAAGAGGTAGAGCCTGTGGACAGAATTACTTTCAGGAGAAAGGCTTCATGATGGGTGCTTGAACTAAAAGAGTCAATGTGGGTTTTATTTTGTTTTTAATAAAAATGGCTTCACCACCCACACCACTTTTTTTTCAAGAGAGGGACTAGCATTCTATTGAGACAGACATTGCTGCATGTCTTGCTTTGTCTTTAAATCGAGTTAACATGGATCATGGATCTGATTTGACCTGCACAGCTGTGTATAATACAAATGAGAAAATTAAAAATGACCCGACTAGAAAAACTTCACTGGAGCTAAGAAGCAATGAACAGTGTGGAAGACAAGAATTCCAGGTGACTAAATATACAGTCACGTGAATATGTTAAAATATAGTACTGTATGTACCATTTTCAAAAGATCGATTTATTTTTGATTAAAAAAATACAGTTAAATCAGATCTCTCCTGAATGTTCTGGCTGTCATTTTCTTTAGCCAGTAGAAACCTGCCTTTCTGGTTTATGAATCCATGGTGCTAACATGTAAAGCAAGATGTTATGACTCATTCAAGCAGTTCTTTGTTCTCTCTTGAAAGCATTGCTGATTATATTTTCAAATATACTTGGGTTTACCCCTAAGAAGGCAAGCCTCTAGCAAGTCTGAGCGTAATACAAGGCAGATTATGTAATTTTTGCAATGCCATATGATGTGAATGTAATCCTGTTAACATCTTCTAGTTTTGCAGTTTTGCTGAATTTTGTTGTAATTTTATCAGGGGAGAAATAAGGTGGCTTTTCTTAGTTTGCAAAACTTTCTTCAAATGCAGTAAAAATGTATTTCAGGAATAAGAAGTAGCTATTGAGGGTTTCATCAGCAAAAGTGCTTTCTTAGCTTCCCTTGAAGAGGCAATTTACTTGCATGAAACCCTGAAATCATGTGGCTTAAAATGAGAGCTTTAATTGAAAATGAGGTTGCAGTGGTTTCAGCAAGGGTTAGTGTTTTACCTGAAGAGTGTTCCTCAGTGCTGGGAAAATAGGAAGTTAAGGAAGGTGAGGTTAGAGGGGTGTCAGATACCTGCTGGCTCTCATCCTGGCAGTTCCCTCGCGAAGCACTGCCAGGGGTACATGCGGGCATTGCTGAAGGATCTGAAAGGGATTAGCAAGGAGGGCTATGGAGACTATTGCACACAGTCTGTGCTGAGTACTGCTGTAGAGGTGGAGAACCCCCAGCCATTGTAAGCTGGATGGTTTTGCTCAGTGTTTCCTCACAGCTGGACCACGTGTTTCTGCAGGATCTGCAATGATGCAAGTGTTAACCAAGCTGTGTCAAGAGAGTAAATTAACAGGCATTTATGTTTTCTTTCAGCCTAGCAATATAAGTAAAAAGCAGTTAAACAGCTTTTTTACCCATTGTTGGGATTTATCTTTGGAAAGAAAGAAGGGAGTCTTTAATTTCAGCCAAACCAGGTGTGAAATGTGTGTTTCTTGGGGCTAGCACACTACCTTTAGCCTCCACAGGAGGAAAACCCGTCCCAAAGACTCTTTACATAGAGCCCATTGCAGTCCTCAGCTGACTGAAGATGACTTCCAACGAAGAAGGCTAGCCAATTCCTAAACTGGTAAACTCCTGTGAGATTTAAGCTTCTTTGTTACCCTAGTATCACTGATTACTCCCAGGGATGTGTGTTATTATTGTAAGATGCCTAAATGGAAAATTGACAGCCTCATCTTTGCTGCTGAATTACTATTTCTTAGTTCTGCTAATAAAACCAACTGATGCTGTGAATAATGGTGCTGGTCACACAGAGAGTGAGAAGCTCATTGAAAACAAACAGATTTGAGCTTTGCCATTACAGAAACTCACCATGTCTTTGGTGGGCACCATGCTGTGTCCCCTGTAAGCCATGGTGCAGCTAGCCCTTTCTATGCCTTCTGCAAGGGTTTATTAACCACACTTTGGTTAACCATGTCAAAACCCTGTGGCTCTGAGCAGCTGATGGTGGAGCCCCTTCTGTCTATAATATTCTTTTAACATTTAGCACCCAGTTGGAATTGTTGCCATCTTCTATCTGTGGGTCAGGGCTGCTTGTTTATTTTGAGCTTTTCCTGTGGCTGTTTCTAAAAAAGCCTGTGATATCCTAAATTCCCAAGACATTCTTGTACTGTTTAAATGGTAAGGGAAACAGTTCCAATGGTGAAGGTAATTTGCCTTATATGACCTGTGAATGATGAGATAACTCTGTGCATTTTAGTGGGACATCTCTCCTACTTATTTAAATAACAACTGATTTAAAGATAAAATGAGGCAGGTCAATTACTGTTTCAGTCTTGAATCCCTGCTGTCTAGTAATTTAACCTGCATTGTAAAATTTTTAAGGTGTGCTTTGTTTTGTTTTGTTCCTGTCATTTTGCTGTAGTGCTTCTCATAGTCACTCTATAGCTGAGGGGCTGATTCTTTTCTCTCATTGTTCTTACAATCCAAGTTCAGTTTCTTGTTGAGAAATCTGATGATAAAATCACTGTTTTACTCTGCTTTATCCGGAATGTTAAAATGAGGTTTAGTGAATTTCTGCTTACCTCCATCATGTTTTTCCCCAAATTGTTTTCTGTTTTGTGGCTGATCGTTAAGTCTCACCGTGTGTGCTGAGCAAATCTGTAATTATAGTTGCTTAGCGTAAATGTCCTCTGCAATGGCATTTAGACTGTTACACACCGAGAACCTTTCAAGAACATCTCCTCATTTAGGCAAATATACAGTAAATCTGATGAACAGCATAGACAGTTCCCAGCCTATCAGAGACGTTTACCTTCTCATGGCTTGTTTAGACAGTGTGGCCACCCCAAATTGTTGTATTGGCCCTGCCCATCTGCCTAGGTACAAATACTGACCAAATTCACCTGATGAAAAAAAATAGATATATCTTCACTGTCATTATGTGATTGATACATCACCAGCAAAGCTAAATTAAATGACTTTTAAATCAATATTATTTGCCATTTTAATTTTGAAATTATTTGTTCGTACGCTAAAAAGTGAAATATCACAAACGATATCCCACAGCTTCCTCTTCCTGTTTCTTTTCTCTCTGGTGATTTTACTACAGTCTAAGAGTTTATACAATATGACACAGTTAACCAAAACTTAATTATGAGTTATGTCCGTATTTTCTTGTGGAATTTGGGACTTCAGTAGTCAAAGGCTCTAACTTATTCTGCGGGGGGATCATTCTGTGTAGTTTTTCTTAGTCTTCCTAGTCTGTTTGTTGTTGGCGGCCAGGCGAACCAACAAATAAGAGGCATTCAGGTGGAAGTGAGCTTTTTATAATTCATTCTCAATGGTACAGTGCTGTTTGCAATATTGTTCCCTGCATTGTTTGCAAATACTGGCATAGACCCTTAATGAAGTACTATTCAAGAAAATAATGTGATTATTTCAATTCAGGGTGTTGCATGGCTCCCACTTTTACTATCAAAATTATTTTAAAAGAAAAAAAATAAAATCTAACCTTCTTCACAAAGAGTAGAAGCAGAGCAGCTAATGATATATTATTTAGATTTTAAGGGCGAAGTTTTGCCTCCTGATCTTTGCTATCGGAGTTGGAGTGACAGATCTGTACTGGAAGGAAGAGAATGATTTTAGAATTAAAATATGTCATGGGGATTACAATTTTGATCAGAGAACAAATTTTCTAGAATAATTTAGTTTCACTGGGATCATGCTTATGCAAGTACACTTGGGTGGTTTTTTTTTTTTTTGTTGTTGTTTTGTATTTTGTAATTATTGACCTGCCAGCTACCTAGTAGTATTTACAGAATGATTGATTAAACATGTATGCGGGCAAAATATTTTCTTCTGTGCAGCTGAAATTTGTGTTAAAGGGACTGAGAACTGCCTCCTTTTTTTTTTCTTGGACAAAGCTAACTGAATGCATGAATGCCACTGCACATAGCTGACAAAGGCAGAGAATCTTTGTGAAAAGGCTCTGTAAATTCTTTCCCACAGAAGTCAACGAAAGGGTCAGTTGTCCTGGGCTACGTATTTCGTCACTTAAACCTAGCGGAGATAGATTACTTTGGACTGCGCTACTGCGACCGAAGTCATCAAACGGTGAGTAAAAGACACAGCAGATTGGATTTTCCATACGTAAAAATTACTCTGTTTGTGTTGTTTGCCTGTAGAGCTTTAAATTGTCATAGTTTCACTAAAGTATTTCCTGGCTCAGGTTTCCAGTAATGATTTCTTTGTGGGTTTTTTTTTGCATTAAAGTCTTGGAATAGCTATTACTATCTTAGGAACAGAATCAGATGCTAAATGTTGTTGAACACTAAATGAAGAAAGTATAAATAGTACAAAATTATGATATGAAAGGAGGATTAACATTTTTTTCCTTTTAGTAGTGTGCCCTGAAGCCAGTACTTGGTGCACTGTGCTGTCTGGCTTTGCTTGGCCCTGTGGTGTCTGGGAAGCAACATCTCTGAGCGTGTGACAGGCTGCTTCGCTTGGACCGCTTGATGAATGCCTGTTTCAGAGTGTATCTTATGGTCGGTGCTGCCTGTTCACTGGTAGAGCCCCAGAAGTAAGGGTGTTGGCAATGACACTTTCACTTCACCTTAACAACCTCTGTGTCCTTGAGCCCATGCTGTCTTGAGCCTTCTTGACCAGGACTCACTAGATGTCCGAGAGCTTTTTCCACCAGGAGATTACAGTTCTAAATAAGTAAGAAAATTGAAACACGGGCTGAAATGTTTCAGCCAAAGCGGGTCTTGGGGCAGTGCTGTCTGGAGTGTCACCCCCTAAATGGCCTGTGCAGGGTTGTTGCAGTCAGAGGTGAGGAACAGGGGGATGCTCAGCAGGTGGGACTAGCACTGTATTCATAGCATGGTCTTCATATTACCTTAATTTTATAAAAGGAATAATGCCTAGCCTGTGTTTACATTAAATCAAAGAGATACGCTTTTAAAGTCACTGTTCTGAGCTGAGAGTAATGCACAAGACCCTGACCTCAAGAGATGCCATATTTCATTTAAAAATAATAGTAAGTTATTGAATTGGCTAAATATTTGCAGGTTTCTTCTGGTTAGCTGAAGTTGAACATGTAGAGACTGAAGTCAGAATAGTATTAGCAGAAGATCATTGGCTGCTGCTGAGTGCTCCAGACTGCCCTACTCACTGCATTTTTATTTCTGTGCCATAGTACAGACATTTATGAATTTGATTCCTTGATAAACTTCTAACCAAGTTTCATTCCATAGAGATGAAAGTCAGATTCAGCTGTGAACTAAAGGTAGACTGATAAAAGCAGTATTTCTGATTAGGAAATTGAGGTGTGAATGAAGAGCAGGTAGATATTATTTTTCTCTCAAAAGTGTTTCCCTTTTTCCTGTAGAGGCAAATAAAATAGGAATGGTTATCACTGAGAACATTTTCAGAGGCGTATGCACTGTGTATTTAATGTTGTGTACGGCACTATGAAAATAAGGGAAGATTACATCTCTTCTTTGAAAGACTTTAATGCATAAAGGCACATTTTAGGACATACCCAGCATACAGACCGGATGATCTGATTGTGTGGTACTAGTGCATTTTGTATGATGGTAGTGTGCATGAGCTGTAGGCCATAACCCCGTTACCTCAGCCTCTCCAAATAAATATGCAGCCTTTTTGCCTTTTTCTTTCACAAGACTCTCTGGTGGTCTAAATTTAATGTTAGCCTTTGCCTTTAGTCTCTGGCCAGCCCAAGGCCAGGAAGCCACTGTGCTTCTTGATTTTCCCACGGTTCAGGAAGGTGCTCACCCCACTTCGCCCGTTTGCCTCCCTGCCGCCAGTCATGTCGCGGGGTTACAGTTTGCACTAGCACTGCCACGGAGCTCCAGCCTCCCTCAGCGTGGAGGTCCGCCAGCCCGTGTTTCGCTGGGCTGCCGCACCGGCGGGCAGGCGCCCGCGTGTGTCCGGTCCCCAGGCCGGAGCGCGTCCTGTCGGCCCCCGCCGGCGGGTTTCCTTTGCTGGGTTGTCCCAGGGGTGCACATCTGCTCCGGGCGGGCCTGCAGCCGGCAGGCAGCCAGGAGGCACAACCGGGGGAGGCCAGAGCGGTGGGACACGTCACGGAGTGCACCTGCCCTGCCGTGCTGCCCCGGCGACCAACCATGTCTGCGCTGCAGGTTGCACCTGGGGTGTGCTGTAGTGAAATGTGGAAATGCCTGTTCCTGTTTGTGCATGGGTAATGAAAAGTTGATGCTGTTTTACCTGGAAAGTCCGTAAATGAGTAAACCTGTGCTGCTGTGTTTAGTTTTACGTGTTTAATGGCAATTGTTGCTAGCTTGCTATTTTTAGTGAAGTCTTGTAAGCTCTTAAGAACGGCCAGTATAGAGGGAAAGCCTCCATGCAAGAAACAACACCTTGTGCTTTAGCTGTAAATGTATATGCAGTTGCTCACTGAATATGGCTAAAACTCTCTGGGCTGTTAGTCTTGTAATGGCTGGCAAGATGCCTACATTTGAATTTTGGATTAGATATGTTTTAGATCGGCCACAGTAGATTTCCTAAGGGAAGAGGAAAAAGGTTACCGTGATATTTAGTTTTAAAACCATGCTCCTGAGATAGTCTCAGGGAAAGGTGTTTGAAAGTTTGGCTACCTATTAATACATAGCTTGTGGTGGGGAATACGTTATTATTTGCTCTGTAAGTTTTTTTGTCACACTATGTATTTCACTGAATGATGAATAAAGCAGGGTGGACAAAACTATGTATTTTAAAGAACGCAACCCAGTCACAAAAGAGATGTGTTTTTATTAAGGGTTTGAAATAACTTGTTTAGCTATTTTCCTCATTGCTTTTGCATGCCTCAACACTTCCAGGTGGTCTTTTAAGCGCTGTGTTGTTGTGCTACTTCTTATGTGGGTGGTATTATAATTATTTTAGTAGTACTAGTAGGGCTCTAGTCAGTGAACAGTTTCACTGTGCTATGCAGTGTATGAATGCATAACATTAAAATGGTCTTCCTGAAGAGCTAACAAACTAATTAGCACATGAGAGAGAATAGCTGGATGCAGCAAAGAGGCTGACAGAACTAGATGGTACTGGGAAGACTTCATGAACAGTAGGATGAAGCATAAGTTGGATGACACTGTCTCTAGGGTAGTAGTTTGGTCTCGTTACACAAATTTTGCTTTATTGACGTTCCAGGTTTTCCCAGCATAAAAGTTGGGTAAACTGGTTAAAGAATAGTATTTAATTTGCAAGATCAAGCTCTGGAAGATTATGAGTTGCCAGAACAGTGTAAGCTGTATCTATCTCATGCTAAGGAAAACCAAAAAGTATCTTGTAATAATTAATTAAAATAGAACATTTAATAGTTGATTTAAAACATTGTAATAGAAAACTACACCTGAATGAACAGATGGGTCGATCTAATGCTGTAGGTTGTCTGTAGTGTTTCCTAAACTCTAATTGCTTTGATCGACAAAGTACCTGATGCTTTTTAGTGTAGTACATAAGTACCTTTTTTGGTGCAAATACTTTAAAAGTACGAGCAGTTTTCTTGAATGTCACTGAATCTCTCAGTGTGCCTCATCGTCAGCGCTGAGCCTTTTGCGTTGCTGCAGAGACTGCTGATGCTCAAGATGGTCAGTTGGGTCCTGATGGACAGGGCATTTTTGTCTTCTGCCTCACCTGACAGAAATGCTGGACATTGTGCCACATCTGGTATTTTCAGGTAAGACACAGTCACCACAGTCGGTGTTGCAGAAGTTGAAGAAACTTTGTTCTGCCTTTTAGGCTCTCATTGCTTTAGTATTTGGGGAAAATGGCCCCCCAGTGATGCACCTCTCCTTCAGTGGAGGAGGGCCCAAATGCCGGGTAGGCTGGTGTTTTGGGGCCGTGCCCCTCTCACTTCTGGTGCCCACTGTGCTGCAGCTCCCAGGTGATCCCCACGTAGCCCCTTTGCTGCTGCCTTTGTGGCATCTCTGCTGTGCCTTAGGACAGTCGTGCTAATTACTGTTCTGGCAGGAGGCCAGTATTTTCTTGAGGCACACAAAAGACAGAATGGAAATGGCAATTCTAGCACATAATATCTCGGGAAAAGCCAGCAGAATTTGACGAGGGAAAGGGTACTTTTGAAGCCCAAAGGCATTCCCATGTCAAATGACAAAAGTGTGCTGAAAAGAGTCATGCTATTACAGCTTCTCTTACAAAAAAGATTTTGAAACTCCCTTATTGCAGAAAACTAGAAAACCAAAAGCATTTTAAAGGTCTGTTGATAATAAAAACTTTTTTTTTTTTTTTTTTTTTTTAACTTCCATGAGCATGGCTTGCACCTTACAATCTCATATTGGTCAGATTGCACGTTCACCCTCCCTAACCAAACTCTTACGCTAAACCTGCATAACCTAAAGCTGCAGGAGACATGTCTGCATTGTACAGCTGGCTGTGATGCAAATATCTTTATTTTCTTATCCAATATAATGCTAATCTGAGCTATTATATACACAAGGTACAGCATACCGATGCTCTTTCAGGGCTTCAAGGGGAGAAATATAAATACAGAAAGCCTTATCAGCACATTAATTCAGTATCACAGCCAAGCTCATTGCCTCAGCCTCAGTTAGTTCAGGTGCAGTGCTGTGTGAACATGCATGTACTGCTCCAAGATCTGGAGCTAACATGGGATGGGTAGTGCTCTGTCTCTGTACTGTGCAGCCACTCTAGTGTAGATGTGTTTTTTCTTCGCTGCTATGAGGAAGGTCTGTTCTGAGCATGCAGACCTGAGAACACAGCAGTTAGGAGGTAGCCCATGGCAATAGATTTCACAGCTGCATAGCCCAGAGGGCACATGGAGACAGAGGCAAGAAGCTGAATTTTCTACTGTGAGTCGCTGTGCTGCAGTGAGCTGTGGCAAAGCTGAGCACAGAAGCCTGTGCCATGAATTGCATATTCCTGCAGTGCAAACTCATGCATTGGAAAGTTGTTTCTTGATCCATCAGTGTGATTAATAAGGTGACTGCAGCGTGCACAGATTGCCAGGTTACTGCACCAAATTGGATAGGGTAAAGGATTGAATAGGCTGTATGCAATTTAACTAGAGAGAGAAGGGCATGATTTTAACAAAAGGTTTGTTTACAATCAAAATTGTCTGTTCTGTAGGGAATTAATGTCATGTAGTATAGTGTATATTTTGATCTCAAGCTCTTAGAAAAACAGATGAACTGTACTTAGCTTGTATTTTGGTTTTGTATGGATTTTTGGTTTTGTATGGATCTGACATTTGCCCACAAACATGGTATACTAAATTAGCTAGAAAGAAAAAGTCTTGTGCTTGCTAAAATAGATGGCGTAGCTAGTGGAAAGAAAGCAGAGACTGACGATTAGAAGCTAGAAACTTTAGAAGACCTAGACAAAGCTGATGGTCAGGCGAGTTAAAGGCAGTAGGAGTAAGCTTTTAGAATGTAGCAGGATCAACAGGATACTCACACTGGCTATCTAATATTAAATCAATATAACTTCAGCATCTAATAAAGAAAAGACAGAAGTATTATATATATATTTGTATGTAGGAATTGCCTGTTGATTTCTTCTACAATAAGGATGTCCTGACCTTTGCAGATTCAGATTTTTTGCACTGATCATTTGCAGAAAAAAACTGACAAAGCAATTCTAATTGTTAGTGTTGTCCTAAGCTATGAAAATATCTTGATCATTTCAAATTATAATTGAAAAGTACTGCGTTTTCTCTTGAAAGTAGTGTTTTTTCCTGTTGTAAATGTGAACAAAAACTGGCATTGTGTGGCATGATGGGTACAGCTTCATAAGAATCTAATTAAGACAGCCTAGGATTTAGTTTGAAGTTGGTAAATTTTTCTCTGCCAGACACTTCATTGATTGATACCACAGCAAACATTTCAACCTAGTTAATATTTTGTTTCAAGCAGGTTAATGGAATTTGACCCAGGTTTAACCCTATGCAGATACAAGGAATGAACTTTCCAGATTTGTGGAAAAATTTTTGTAGTCATTTAAAAGGACTAAAGATGAAATACTGCATGGTGTTTGGATGCATACTGCTTACACATCTGGCTCATGTGGGAGCCAGATTTGTAGAATTACAAAGGACAGTAGAGCCTGTCTGTTCTTGGATATGCTGTACTTTAAAACATTATAAAATATTTTTATGTAAAAATTTAAAGGGAATTATTTTCTTTAATAACATTGTACATTTATAATCAGCCTTAGTAAATAAAAGAAGTTATTAAATTAAACTAATACTATATGGTCTTTGTAAATAACAGTTCGTAAATTAGTAGCTATCACTTTAGTATTTGGATAGCTGTATTGTTTAGGACTATTTAGAAATCATTATTTAATTTTTCCATTTCTTCTGCAAATGTTAAATTCACTTTCAGATTCACTTATCCCCTGCAGTTGGATGAGTATACGCTGGGCCCTCCACCCCTTTGCAGCAGTGATGAGCAGTTTATGAGGCAGATAACCCTTGATGTACATGCAGGAGAGGTGCAGGTGGGAAATTACTGAGAAGTGGCATGCTGGCTGCCAAACAGATAAAAAGACCGAGGCGGTGTGCTGGAGCTACTTTGGCATTCACGAATGCAGGGTTTGTTGTCAACACCTGCTGTGCAAGTGTACTGGATTAATAAGACACTGCTTTTTTTGTTTCAGTTCTCTTGGCACTTTAACGTGTGATCTCAAAACTGTAACTATAACCAACACTATATGTAGACACAAGCATTTAACAGACATCTAGTACACATTATTATGTATGTGTGCATATGTATGCTTAGAGGTCTCTGTTGTTGGGGTTCTTGATTTTGTAAATGTCCTCATCTTTATTGTCTAGAGTTGGCTTGAAAAATGCCTTTTCATTATCCATGAAATTCCATTCATCTTTGGTTTACAAATAAAATATTAGAATTCCTCCTCTCCTCCCCCCACCCCTTGCATTCTTCAGGAAAATTTTGGCAGCCTTTGAAATAATAAATAGCTACACAGTGATTTTAAGCGTGGGTTTGTGGCATTGCCACAGTGCTAAATACTTACTGAAGAAATGAGAAGGCAGACAAGATTCTTGCCTCTTCCCCACTGCTCTCTGTCCCAGAAGTAAACTGGTCTGAACTGAAGTGTTTAACTTCACCTACGCAGTACATGGATCTCAGGGCCCATGGTACGCTTGGAAGAGCGTATTTCTTTGTGCCAGCAGATGCTTATTTTCACTGCCACGAGTAGCAGCAGTCTGTTTTACAGGGATGAAGGCTGAGAGTGGAGTTCTTCTTGTTGGCTCAGTTTGGGGGAAGGAAAGGAAATGTTTAGTGATACGAATACAGATTTGTTCCCTCTCCTCTCTTCACTTTCCCTCTGAATCTGAACTTGCAGTTTTCCTTCTGAATTTTGCATCCCTCCCCCAAGGTTGGAAATTGCCTTCAGAAGACCATACAAATATCACTTGACTTGCCAGTCAAGTACAGCCTAGTGGGAATTAAGGATTCCAATGCAACTCTGTTTTGATTGTATTTACTACATGTGTCCATATGGTCTTTACTTACTTGGCTGAATCCTGGTTTGTCTCATGGTAGCCTGTGAATCACATGGATACACGAAGCTGCAGAGTTCAGGTTGCAGAGGCAACCATAAATCTATAACTGTTTTGTGCTCAGCTTGTAAACTTGAATAATGATCCATCAATATCCATTACTTTTTTTTTTTACAAATAGTCAGTCTACCTGTGCATGTAAAGCTAAACTGCAAACAGGATGATAGCGCAATATATCTTGAAGCTGAGTTCAGTTCAGTTCAGTTCAGGAGAATGTAAAGGAGTTATTCTGTGATAGGTTTTGATGTGCTTTTGGAACAGAACAGTGTCCATGTCTTGCAGTGTAACACAGAGCTGCCAATGATAAGCAAGTTAGCTTGACAGTGTGCTGTGATGCCAGGTTTGAGAAGAGGTCAGACCACATTCTGACCACATTGCATAGCCAGAACGTACACTGTGGAATCATTCTGCTTTTTTCTGTCTGTTGACTGTAAAATCTCTTCATCAGCCTATTGTGCTAGCTCAGATTATTGCTGATTTGGAGTTCTAATAGGGTGTTTGAACAAGTGTGACAAGTTTTTCTTTCCTTCTTACCTTCTGTTGAGGTAAGAGGGTTTATATTTGAATAGCTATTGCATGTATTAGATACAAGCATGTACTGAGTATTTTTTTTTTCTTCAAAATTTAGGAAATTTTCTTAACGAAAATTCCAAGATTTGAGATAGCAATGGCCAAGAACAAGGCATACAGTTACTTCTTTTGCAGGTGGATCAGCAGCTAATGGAAGTAGTTTGTTTTCATGTTTTGTCAAAATAATGATAATTGTTTACAACCACTTCTGAAATTAGTTTGAAATTAGAAAAATGCTCAAATGCTTTGTAGTGTTTTTCCCTCCCATATTTATGCTACTCCTTCTAATATTGAAATTTTTTAGTTCAGAGAAGTTCTTTGAATAGAAAGTGGAGATTTTTTGATTAATATTTTTTTTTTCTTATTCTCTGTAAGTTTAGTTCAGGGATGCAGGTAAAGAGTTTCTTTGTTCATCGGTCTGTGTAGTCCCTCAGTTAAAAAAGCTGTGGATACTAAAGGAGTAGATTCAATTTGCCTTAATTTGCTCTTTCTAGCAGCTGCGCTCTGCAGCCTTTTTGTTTGCAGTTTTAAGAAGGGGTGCCAATCTCAGCTGGTCCAGAAAGTTTGTGTATGAGGAAAGAAGACTGAAGAAAAGGAAGACAAGAACGGTCTTGGCAGCTGCCTCTGCACTTTCTTCTAAAACTGAATCGTAGAAATGTCAAGCTAAGGAAGAAATAACCAACTGGAGGGATTACAAGAGCAGGGTGCTGGTAACCTGTGTAGCTGTAATGTGAAGTACACAGCTGGTCTGTGGTCAGCGATAGCACCAGGATAACTTTTATTACAAGTTGGATAAAAGCGGGACAGTGTGATCAGTGAGAAACTATACTGCAGATTGTCTGTTGATTAAATGGCATGAGATATAACAGTTCATCCCTCTGCGGTATACTAAATTTACCTTGATTGTCTCTGACCCATTTGTCCAACTATTCCTGCAAACCATCTGATGGAAGAGTCTGTGCCCTCCCTATCTTGGTGCCACTTTTCCAGTTGTTCTCTCCCTCTGCTACTAGAAACTGTTTCTGAAAATGGGAATTAATTTTTCTTTGCTTCTAGTTAAGCCAATTTCTTCATACTTGGTGAACATGAAGGAAAATTGATCACTGTGCTCTTACAGCAATTTCTCAGGTGTTGGAAGAGTACTGTTATGCCTATTGTCCTCTACAGTCTTGTTTTTCAGAAAAGAAGGGAAGCCCCTTCATTCTTTACTTGTAGGTCTTGTCTTACATGCTTTGTTGTCACCCTGCTTAGGTTAATCTCCCAGGAAGAAAACAGCAAGGCTGCACATCTGTGTAGTAGCTATAACAGATCAGGTAGACACCAAAGGGTACTTAGTATTATACTGTAGAGCCAGCTTGTCACAAGTCTGAGATGTGGTGGCTCTTACCAAACAGATTTCCTTTTAGGAAGCCCCCTAACCCCAGAGAAGATATGCAACATTAGACTTGTACAGACTGTTTCTCTGATCAGAAGTTGGCACAAATTTGTCATTAGCAGACTGAAATGTGTCAGTCTGATAATAAATACCAATATATGAGTAAATACAGAATTACAGTTGTTCTGTATTAATTTTCCATGTTAAGTGACTAATTTCCATTATTATCTGTCTCACAGTACTGGCTGGATCCTTCAAAGACCCTTGCTGAACATAAAGAATTGATAAACAGTATGTATTTAATTTGAACTTAAAAAACGTATCTGAAAATGAAGTAACAGAGGCAATGTTCCATGCATACAGCCTGTACAACATTTATATTCTGGTCACAGCAGATCGATAGTTCTTGAATAAGTTTACTACTGCAGTTCATAGCTGTATCAAAGTTTTACACATAAATTGAACATACCATAATTTCCCAGTAATTTGTGTGATTATTGTCCAAAGATTTCTCTGTGCTCAAACTTTATTTTAGAATAATAAATGGTGCTATTCTTAACTTCTATAATTAATTTTGTAATAGCTGTGATACCTCTGTCATAGTGGACTGTACCATAACCAACTTAGATGCTTTTTTGCTTCTAAAAGTAAAAGTAGTGCCTCTTACTGATAAGAGTGTCGACTATTACTGTCACTATTCAGATATCACAGATGCAAGATCTGTTATTTTTATTATAATTAAAGAACATAATAAGATTATTTTACTTAAGAATTTGGAGACCTATAAAAAGATGTGGAAGTGCAGCATGCATGGAATAAATGTAGCTGTAAGAGTTTCAGTAATAAGCTAACTGAATATTTCAGGAGAGTAACATTTTTAAAAGGTGAATTAGAAAAGCTTTTCCAAATATTCCTCAATTAAAGTGGAACATAATTAAAGTTGCTCCATAAGATATTTGAAAGTATGGAAGGGATTAGTATTCAGTATTATCAGTTATCACAGGGAATCCCATTTCATGCAGAATTAAATTTTTCAAAAAGTTGCAGTGGAAAAAGTATCTAAAGGTCAAAATCAAGTAGTTAAAAAATCTTGGAGAAATATTAAGTTAGCAATGAAATCTGAAGTTAAGTCTTCAAAATAAGCAAAAACTCCAAGTAGATAGACAAGTTGTGAATAAATATACATAGAACTAGAAAAATAATAATAAAAAATCCTTTTCTTTCTTTTTTCCCCTCATGAGTAATGAGTGTAGATGTACAGATTTGATTTGTGGATGTAAGATTTTTTCTGAAACTTTAAAGTTTAATAAATTATTAATATAGGCTTCTTAGTAGCTGTTCTGTAGTCAACTAGTAATGATTCATAACAACTAACAGTTCATAACAACTAACTTTTGCACCAAATATTTTTTTTCCTTTAGCTGGACCACCATACACTCTGTATTTTGGCATTAAGTTCTATGCAGAGGATCCATGTAAACTTAAAGAAGAAATAACAAGGTATAGTATTCAATAAGAGTATAGTTTGTTGATTTCAGGTTAGTAATCTATTCCAGCCAAGTGCATATTGTTGTGGTGTGGCTGGGTTGTTAGGGTTTTTTTGCTTGAACATCTGAATGTTTTTTCTTGAACATGTATGTGCAGGAACAGAATTGTAACTAGCATCACAGTGGTTGGTACAGACAACTATTTGGAATCTGAAGATGAAAATGCTCTCTGTTTCATCAAAAAACAAAGGGACTTGATGTGCATTTGCGTTTTTGTTGTTTTTTTGTTTTTTTGTTTTTTTTTAATTTAAGGAATGCATTGTCACATCTGCATTTATATTGTGCTGTAATCAAATATGGTTATCAAATATACATATCTTCTTTATTGGCTGTAGCTTAAATTCCAGAACTGTTTTTCAAGAGGATTCCTTACGGTGTTCCTAAAAATATGTGGAGGATATTGAAGAGTTGCATGCTTTTGATTCTTTCAACTAAGCTTGTCCTCTACAAGATATGAGGATGCTCACGCCAATGCATGCGCACACATGCACACAGACACATACACACACAAGCGTGCCTGAACTCTCATGCATAGGGTTTTCTGTTTGCTCTATTTATGAAAGGTCTCAGACATTTTGGTTTAGGTTCAAAAGAAAATTTGAGAATCTGGATAGGTAAGCAGACAAAATTAGTGCACTGACTTGCATTAATAAATGCCAAAATATTTCTTTTGATGTCCTAGGAATGACACATGAGAATTCATTAGAATGCATGCAGGGTTTTTAATTTTCCTTAATCAAAGGTGACAGTTGTTGCAGCACAGGCAGAATATTTTTCTTGTACCAGAGTGAGAAAATTCTTTGTTTCCACACTGGCACAGCAGGAATAGTAGTTTCTGGTATAACAAGATTGAGGCTGGTCTGGTAGAAATAATAAACACTGTGACTTTGCAGGTAAAAGGGCATGAGCTGTCCACAGTGTGATGCCGCTGTACCACGAAAGTTTGATGCAGTTTTCCTGTACTTTTCCAGAAGCACTTTCAACCCTGTTCACAGGGGAAGACAGATGGCCCTGAGAAGGGAGCTTTGGCCACCTAACCTGTTGTGATTGATACCCAGGAGGCAGGGTGGATTTCTGTCTGGGAAATGACAGGGGCTAAATTTTCAAAAACTGTTTCTCTTGCCTTGTGATAAGGTCAATCAGTTATTTGCACTGGTGCTTAGGCATGCGAATCTAGTCAAGAACAATTTTAGTACAATTAGTAAACCGTAGTTCATGTCTGCACATTGTTTGGTCATGCTTTGAACCTTATAAGTTACAGTTGAAGGCATAAGAAAGCAATATGCTTGTATCAACAGTCTTCAACAAATCATATTGAGTACTCAAATGCGCTCAACATTTCTGAACATTTATTCCTGTAGCCTCTTAAACGTTGGAAAGAAGGTATACCTTTTCAGGAAGAAATATAATAATAATAAAACCTCCTTCTGCTTGAGATATTAGAGGCCCTATTTTTCTTTATAATTTTAATTTTCTGCCTAAGTGTGATTTCAGTGATGTGTTAACTGTTTTGTGCTAACCAATATGTTTCTTTGGAGCATGTGTTTGTTATTTTAATGGATATGAAAGTGGAATCTGTTGTTACTAGGTGTTGATGATCTGTGGCGTTACATGATTACAATTTGCAAATAATGAAAACCTGTCAAATTTGTAATTGCTTCACAGCAAAATCTATCTGGCTTGTGGGCAAAAACTAACACGGTGATTCATCTTAACATTTGCTGGATGTGTTTGCTAGAGCAAAGTAGCACTTAGGCACTATTATGTATGCATGACGTACTTGACAGCGCACAAGATGAGAGTGCTTTAGCTACAAGTTTGGACAAAAGGCCTGGTTTTGTGAGGAGTTTAGCAACTTCAGTGGGAATTGAGGTTGTTCACTTCAGGAGTCACTTAAGCATTTACAAGTTGGCTCTGACTGTTTTTTGCAGGGAGGTGGTGTTTCTTGCATTTTCCTATCCTGCTTTATTTTGAGCCTACACTGTGAGGATGCAGAAACACCTGCTACATGGCAGAGACATTTGTAGAATCACCTGGTATGAAGCTCTGCATGGTAGAGATGGAGAGGCACTAACAGGAAGATGGGTGCATATCAGAAATGCAGTTCATGTTAAAAAGGAGATGCTGTGTGCTCCACAGTGTATGTAAAATCACATTTGCCATTATTGTCATTCGTACAGAGAAGATTTGAGATTTGTCAGGGTAGGACTGGCAAGTCTAACCTAGAAGCTGTACTGAGGTATTGCTTAGAGTGAAGAAACACTGAGTGTATGTATGTGCTTTGTGTTGCCTGATGACATTCCCAGAAAATTCTTAGGCGGTACCCTGGTCCGCTAAGGCAGAGAATATTAGCCATTTTTTTAAGTACGAACATTTCTACTATAGCATCAGTCACAGCACAAGTTCTGGGGGTTCATTAACCAGAAAGACAGTGGTATCCTCATTCAGATACTCATCTGGACTGATGAAGTCCATTAAATTTGGTTGGATCTTAAATGATTTGTGGATCAGCTATCATGTAACCTGCAGCTTACAAACTTTGAAATCACTGTAGATGCACTTTGAACTTACAGATCATTCCATGTTGCTTTCATAAGTGACTTGTACTAACACAGAAGAAATTATTTATAGAGTAGCCCAATGGCTCTATGTAGATAAAGTTGAAATAGTGAGTAATGAAGAAGCTGTATGCTTGTATTGATGACCATTTTTTTCTTAAAAAAGTTACCTTCTCAGTATTGTTACCTTTGTAGGAACTTGGTGCAAGAAATTTGCTTAGGATCACATGAAATGCTGCGTAGATCTGTTGTAATAAAACCAGAAAAAATCCAAACAGCACTTAAAAGATTTTCTATAAATGAATAAGGAGAGTTGCAAAACCAAGCAGATCCTTTGTATGATGGCTTGTTTTCCTGTCTTTTCCATCTGTTTTGTTCATATTGTTTCACTGTAAATGGTCTCTGTATATGCTTCATCAAGTGTAGAAGTAGATTATGACTGTGAAAATTACATTTTTACCCCTGCTATCTCCAAGAAGGAGAGTACCCTATGCTATGACAGATACAGTTAGCTGCTGATGGTATGCCCATCCATCTTTTTCATGAGGGTATAGACTCCATCAAATCTGCTTGGTACTCTAGAGTTGATCTCTGGTGTGTGGAGAGGAAACCTGTGAGTAAAAAAGCACCCAATACCCTGTTTTCCCTCATGTTGATCCACTGATCAGATTAAATTTTGGCCCTTTGATAGGTTTCTTATTATTTTTTTCTGATTTCCAGCCCTTTTCCCCACTTCCTGACCACTCTATGAAAGTCAAAAGAGAGAAATTACATTTTTAGAGGGAAAACTAATTGTATTTGCACAACATAAGCAGATGGGAAAACTACAGAGTGCTCCCCTACCTAGATTCTCCCATGAGATTAATCTTAGTTGTTACTTCAAGGTCAGAAGGGGAAAAGTCATTCAGAGAGGAATACAGTTTTTGACTGTCACATAGTTTTGTTACGTGGCATGTCTTCAGTAAACTGGAGTATGCTGAAACATTACTTAGTGAATCAAACTCAATTCTGAAATAATAACTTTGTTTTCTCTCTGTGTTTTAGGTATCAGTTTTTCTTGCAGGTCAAGCAAGATGTTTTACAGGGCCGTTTGCCTTGTCCAATCAACACTGCAGCACAGCTGGGAGCATATGTAATTCAGTGTAAGTTTTTCTGGCCAACTGAGAGCTTATTTCTTTTAATCTTGCATTATGATTAATTTTAAGCAGTGACTGAAGAATTCACTAGCACTTTATGCATTAATTTCAAAACAGAGCAAAACTAATATGGCTGATTTCAGGTAAAGAACTGTAAATAGATTACCATTCTGAACAGATAATATGGAAGTAATATAGAAGTTAGTGTAAGGAAGAAACTGAAAAGTCAATCTGAAGACTCTGCCAAACACTTTTTCCCTTGCTGAAAAATACCTCATCATGTACTTAGGACTTCCTCACTTTCTCTGGATTGCATATAGAGTATGACAAAACCTTCTTCAGAAGGTTTACTGATTTGATGGGCTATTGGCAACCTCCAGCCTACAAAGTCTGTCAAATAAATGATTCTTTCAAAAATTACAGTATGTCAATATGAATGTGCCTGTGCTTGAAGGGAGGATGTGTTTTGACCTGAAGTGAAGAATTCAAATTCTGTCATTTATCTGTACTCACCCATCAGTAGCTAGCTTTTCAGAAGTGGATGTTATATCCTGTATACTTAATAGAATTAGCAATCAATTAGAAAAGAGCTGTCTGTTTACCAGTTAGTTTTTCCTTCACATTACAGCTCAAGCTTTGTATTCAAACACAATTGGTAACCAAAAATCATATGATGTGCCATGCTGGGACACGTATCTGTAATTTGTTCTGTGTTAAATTTAGATTTCTCATAAGTGATGTGTATTAAGCAAATATTTTTATTATTGGTGTTCCAAGTGTGACTCAAAAATACTTAATACAGCATAAAAGATGATCCTCCTTTAATTTCCATCTTAGAATAACATGGCAGAATAACTTGTGTATGAAATGGGAGTAGGGATTATATAGAATTTCATGGTATGTTATATATGTTTCTGAAAAGCTAAAATTTCAGGCAGTTTTTTTGTTTTGTACAATTATTTTTAACTTCATTTTGCCATCTAAGAATTGTGACATGTCATAATGTGAAAATCTGTTTGCAGTGCACATTGCACTTCACTGGCATATGTGCCTTCCCTGAAAAAATACTGCAAGTATGAAGCAGGAATATACCTAATGATGGCAACAGCTTACTCATACTATGAGGAATGAGTAAAAAGAATAAATTCATGTCCTTTAGTCATTTTATAAGGTATTTAGAGTATGGGGAGCTGTTTTTTTGGTATATAATCCTGTGATTCTAATCCTGTGATTGGTATATGTTCCTGTGATTCTAATTTCTGATACTCTATTAGAAAACAATGAGGAAGCTCACATGAGAGAGGGGAGTTAAAGGGCAGCAAAGGTTACATACAGTGGATTAAAGTTAGTCCTGGCACTAGCAGGCATACATTCCCATTGACTACAAAAAGCTTTGTCCTTTTATTTGGGGCCTGCAGTTGTTCAAATTACATAGAGACACCTGAGAAACGTCTGTCAGATTCTGAGACTATGATCCCAAAGCATCAGCACCGAGGTAAACAGCCCTTCCATGGGTCATGTGCCAAGCAATGCTTTTTTTTTCTCCAAACTCAGTTAAGTGTGTTTGTGGGAATTCAGTAATATCTGAGAAGCTCTGCTCCTGTAATGATATCAGTGGTGACTTTCCCAGTGGATCTGGCAGCTGCTGAGATCCAGAGGAGGAGCCAGGGCCACGTCTTCTCCCAGACTCCCCTATGCGTGTCCTGCTCCAGCCACGGGCCCTGCTTTCAACATTCAGGTTGTGCCTGGGTGTCATCTTTGGTCTCTGAACAGATCCTGTGCTTAGCACATGAGTCATTTTCCTCCTTTTGTGGACAAAGACTGCAGACTGTTGCAGTGGTGGTGATGGAAAAATCAGTACCCATGGCACAGTTTACAGAATATACCATTTTTCCTATTGGGATTGCTGGAGTTACTGCTGTTGTAGTAATTCCCATTCTTATTCCTGCTGTGGGAAAGAACCGCATCATTTTTACAGAGGTTTTCTAGAGCAACTTCTCAACATTGCTACTGAGCAGATCGCTGTATTGTTCTAGAAACATCACTAAATTTTGGAAAGAAACAGGAGTTATTAGATGAGTCTTTTTCTTCTTGGCTCTTGAAGCCTCCTTTTGGCTATATTTTTGGCTTAGTGGGCTGTTGTGGTTTAAGCCCAGCCAGCAGCAAAGCACCACGCAGCTGCTCGCTCACTCCTTCCCCCACTGGTGGGATGGGCAGGCGAATCGAGAGAAAAAGGTAGAACCTTGTGGGTTGAGATACGAACAGTTTAACAGGACAACACAAAGAGAGAAGTAGCAATGGTAACAATAATACTACTAAAAGAATATATAAAGCGAGTGATGCACAATGCAGTTGCTCACCATCCAGAACCTGATCCTCAGTCCATACCTGAGCCTGGATCCCTCCTCCCCTAGACCAGCTTCCCCAGTTTACATAGCATCTTCTTGGCTGGTTAGGGTCAGCTGTCCTGGCTCTGCCCCCTCCCAGCTTCTTGTGGACATTAACCCTAACCCAGCTGAACCTAGGACATGGGCATTGAATTTGAAACCTTCCATGAAGCTTTTCTCAGAGAAGCCCTGTCAACGCAAATTTTACTCAGGGTTATTAAAAAATTGAAATACTAACTTTCACAAAGTTTCTCAGATAGATACAATTATAGTTAAGATCAGTAGAAGTGAGTTCTGACCAAGGTGCATATTTATTTTATAATTGCATTGCAACCTGTAAACTGGTATGACTAAGGTATGCAAATTCAAGGTTGTTTCAAATAAAATTGTATTGGCTATTCATTTCGTTATTTTCTTTAAGAAAATTATTTTTAAAAATTCTTTTTGTTTTGAAAGTGAATTTAACTTTCAGGAAATGCATTGGTATTTTATTGAAAAATAAAGTTGTGTGTTTCCTCACAGGAAACGACGTTTACCCCTAGAAGAGCATACCTCTAGGTGTCTCAGGGTATTTGCCTCCATTCGCATTCACATTCTGACACTTATGTTAGGAGTCCCAGCAAAAATATGGATCAGTTCTGTCTGTAATATTACAGCTTACTGTGAAGGCATAGATTTTCCAAAAACTAGACTCTTCTTCTACGCTTGTTTTACATACTCTGCCAAATACTATATGTCATCAAATATCAATTTTGCTGACTTGGACCAAATTAGATCTAGTCCTGTAGAAATGGTAGATTTCCTGTCAAAACCCCTAGGTCTTTGAACCTTAAATTTCTCTTTTAAAATGACTGAAGACATTTTTTCTTAATTTTATGTGCACTAGTATGAATGGTTCTGTACTGCCTTTGGGTTCTTTAACTGACTGCATGGTAAGTTGACAGTCAGTTGGAAAGAGGTGTCTTGGCACCAATAGGTGAATTATATAACATATTTTTTGGTTAAGAAAATGTTGAAAATAGGTGACCTTTCTTTTCTTCTTGTGCCCTCTAGCTGAGTTGGGGGACTATGACCCGTATAAGCATACTGCAGGTTACGTCTCAGAGTACCGCTTTGTTCCAGACCAGAAGGAAGAGCTGGAGGATGCCATAGAGCGGATACACAAAACTCTGATGTAAGAATTCAGTACTGTTGGGAACTTAACAGGTAACATCAGTTTCGGAGATGCCTGGTAGGTGGGGAAGAGAACAGGTTGTGGTGCAGAGTGGAGGTCTTTAGACTCGAGGAAAGAATGCGGGTAATCCAGTTATGTCCCTCAGAAACAGAAAACATTTTATGTAATTGGAGTTGTTCTTTCAGGAACTGAGTAGGACAACAACTGGAAATACAATGTCAGGCCTAGGTAGGAGTGTTTCAGAACTAGCAGTTTTAATAGTGCTCCCGTTTCCTCTTAGCTTAGTAGATAAGAAGAATTAAATAAAAGTCTGTGAGTTCAGTTCCCTGATTGAGGGTAGATTTCCTACGTCATTTTGGACAAATTGCTTATTATGCCCATGCCTCAGTCTACTGTCTGTAAAATGGGGATAATAACATTTCTTTCTTCGTACTGCTCTGTGTATTCAAATAAACTGTTAGGCCAAAACCACTTTTAATCTAATAATGTGTGGCACTTGGTACAATGCAGCCTCTATTTTCTTGCCAGATCCTTGACTGGGGTAATGAAGGAGTGCTTGTATCAACCTGCATGAATCTTTGTGGGAGCAGCTCACATTGCAGGAGGTACCAGGAAGGCAGTTTGTATGGCTATGGTTTAAGTGATAATCTCAGTTGCAACATTTGTGTGAATTAAAGACACAGTTTGTTTTTACAAGCATAAAGTCCTTTCATTTTATTAACCAACATATCTTACATAAAACATACTGGTAGTGGTTAGCATGAAGGATTGCACTGTAAGGAAGAGCGTATGGTTTGTAAGAAGAAAAGCAGCACCTAGAAACAGAGTCATCAGGCAGTGCTGAATAACAAAAGGCATTCAAAGTGCTGGTTTCTGGACAAAACCCAAACAAATTCCAGAATTCTGTGTGTGACCTTAAAGCAGGGGGAGCACAGGGTATCTGGTGGGTCTTGAAATAATTTTGGTTTAAACTGAATAAGGCACCGACAGAAGTTCACAGTCATTGAAACTGTACCTCATAACATTTTTTAATGTATGAGAAGGAGCCGAGAAGGCAGGAATAAGCTAGAGTTATGGTACTTGGCAGGGTCAATGTTGAAGAGATTGCAGAAAGAATGTATTAGGCGTACTGCAGTCAGGACAAAGGAGAACTGCAGAGATCTGAAATATGTCTGTCAACAGACCTGGATGATTCATGCAATCCCAATTTAGCCGTCATAAAAACGTTGGAAAAAACAGATTAATTTTTATAATAGAGACTGCAAAACTTAAATTTTCCATCTTCCAGTTACTGGAATAATAATCACCTTGGACACAAAACATGTGAGTTGTATTGTTATTGATAATCTCTGCCTGATGGTGGATGCCAAGATGCTGCTTTGGGAGTTGACTGATTTTCTGTCAGACTGCAATTTGTGCATACAATGCCTTCACTTGATTACTTGTCAATGGAGTGGGAAGAAAAACTGCAATAAGGACAACCAGGAGATGGACTGGAGTGCGCAACAGATGGGCAAAGCAACATAAGAACTGGTAACATCTTGCCCCCTGGGTTGTGTCAGTGCTTGAAAGATGGAACAACAGCAGGAACAGAGAGAGGAAAAACATCAATCTCACAGGGAAGCTAGAGCAAACAACGTAATTTCCACTAGAGAAGGCAGAGCCAGAAAGTGATCCTATGTGAATATAGCTTAAATAGTAGATCCATTTGCAGCAGCTGTGTAAGTAGCCTTCTTAAAGAGGTTTAACTCTACACTAGAGTCTCTAGGTGTACAAAAAATATATAAAAAAATGACCAGCAATTCAGAGTCACTTTTTGTCCCACTTACTCATTTTTAGAAATAGCTTTCTATGTATGAAATACTTGCAGTGAGATTAGTTTTAGACTGAAGTACTCTTGGTGTATGAGTAACTGAGGCCAAACCACCAGTCACTGTGTGAAGGCACTGCAAGTCAGAGATATTTGGCTTCCCAACTTGCTGTTCCAAATATTAGACCACAGTGCCTTCAAAAATGCAAAATGTGAAATTGGTTTTGAAAATAAAACATATGCCAGAAATTCAACTATACATAAAGCCAACATAAACAATTACTTGCTTATCTCCAAGTTCATGTTCCTGGTAAGTGTAAAGAAGCTTGTTCTAACAAATCCAAGTTAGGTGCAATTGTGATATAACCATTTATTAAGATGAGAACAGTAAGGAACATTTTATGAGTATGTTCATCATATCCTTTCTCAAAGTAACGCAGAGATAATCAGAGCTAGCCATCTTGTATGTAGATCAAGATTTCTTGATTCTCTTGCTATAATGAAGCCAGAGTCTGGATAAAGGTGGAATAATTTCTTGCCCGTAGCTTTGCATGTTAGTGTTATTTGTTCCTTGTTTAATGATAATAGGCGTTAACTGAGAGACATGGCTGTTCTCTTTGAAAAGTTCTGTATTTGGAGTCTGTGACAGTTGCCACATTGACCTGAGCTTTCTCTTTTAGAGAAGAGAGTCTGTTTTTCAATAATTATTTCAGTGCGGTTGCCTGACTGCCTTATAATAATTGATTCATTATGGAGAACCTTACTACAAGTTATTTTGTGAAGTAAAAAAGTACTGTTTTTTTCAGTTTCTGAGGTTGGAAACTGAGTCACAGAGTTTGTTTGGTTCAACATCACAGAGGTTGTGTTTGAGAAATGAAACTTGAGATGAATTGCTAAGTATCAGGCCACCGGTACTAACCAACCTTCATTCCTCTCTCAAGTTTCTGGAGTCATTAGTGTAGTAAATCAGATTAAGAGTCATTTTCCTCCGAAAGTGTATAACCTTGAACATCAAATTTAGAAACCAGGGGAACAGTGGTTGGGAAGAGGAGCGTTAACTGTCTTAACACTGTCTCTAGTGTTTTTATAAGCTTATTGATCTAGAGCTCTGATACTGTTTTGCTGCTTGGCTGAAGTTAGGTGTCAGGGATTTAGCAGCATCAGAAGAGTGAAACTAAGGTGTATCCATTGCTAGTTCAGCCTGACTGTCATCATCAGTACTGTCAGCACTGACTTCTGCACAAGTGACAGCGATCTCTTCGTTTAAGAAATTTGAAGCTAAAATGGCTGCGGGTATATTTCAAATTACCTCATCTACCAGAGACATTTTAGGGAGACATTTGTGACACAGTTTGGAAGAACTTTATCCTTACTGGAGTCCAGCATGGAAGCGTGGAGTTTTTTTACAAGACAGCTGTGGCACTGCATGTATCTTGCTTCTTCTAGTTATGTCCAGATAACTGGTTTTGGTTTCAGGTTATCTCTCAGTTTTTTATAAAACAGAGTGGCTATTCAGGGATTCACTCAGGATGCAATTTTGTGAGCAAGTTTCTAAATCAAGTAAGATGAGGGAAGTCAGAGGTGGGGAGGGGGGTTCTGACTGCATCAAGTCTCAGCAGCCTGCCTACTGTGATTGTTTTCCTATCTGTAAACCAGCATGACACTCCCAAGGTCAGGTGTCAGGGTGAGATGACCTTATGTTGTCATGCATATCTGGAGGAACACACAGCGCCCTCAGGTCTTTCATGGGAGGAAGCAGACACTCGTGGTACTGGAGGAGGGGTATGATCCCTCAGTGCAAACGGGAGAGCTTGTGTTGGCCCTCTGACATTGCCTGTTCCAGGCTGCAGCAGATCTGGGACTGATACTTGGCAAGTCAGCGGTTAGCATATGTTGAATCAATATTGCATGCTGTCAGTAGGGTATAAGTAGAGTTTAAGTGCCCCTGGTAGGTAGCTTTGAGAGTAACTTTTAAGATTGTTTTGGTCCATCAGTGACACTCAGGTGATCTTTGTCCATCTAAATGAGTAGAGCATGTCACCTGCATAGCTGTTGCATTGCTTGCTCGGTCGCTACCAACTGCAAAGCCTGTTTTAGTTTTGGGATGTAGTGTCAGGCTGTATGATGCTGAGGAGAATCTGTGTTTTCATACACAGTAAAAATTAAACACCCTTTGTAATGGTGGGAATTGTTTCAATCCCTGACATTCCCCTCTTTCCTTCACATTGTCTTCTCCATCTGCATTTGGGAGGACTTCTTCCTCCAGCTTCCATCTGCTTCCTTCAGAAGCTCCAGCTCACATCTTTACTTCCTTTAATATTTTTGCAAATACACTTTCTTATAAATTACATATTATTATGAAAATATTTATACACATTCACACACTTAATTGACATTTGAGCCTTTTGGTACTTTCAGAGACAGGTGAGAATAGTAGGGTGAGTACACCAGCATTTTTCCAAGTACGGTCAGTAAGGAAACACTAATAGTGGTGTTTAAGTTGGTGTTGGATTCTAGCACTGATTCAGTAATGGGGTAATCCACTTTGCACAGGGCTGATATTTAGCCTGCCTGTGAACTCAGTAAGAGAGTACTGCTCCAGTGAATATTTTGCTTACATTTTTGAGAGCTGCCAAGAAGATTTAAAAAGCTGTGGAGTAAATTTTTGTAGCAGAAGTAGATAAAACACGTCAGATATGACAAGGCTGACATGCTGAATATCCAGTGTTCTGCATATTCTGAATACAGAGATGAATCATGGGTCTACTGGGAAATCCAGCTCTTGAAGAAAGGGATTTTTTTCTCTTACAAGCTTCATGTCTGCTGCTTTTCCAGGAGTCCTTGGAGAGAAGGGCTAACACCTGAAACAGTATTACTGCTGGTACATGGATAAGATGGCCTGAAGCAGCCCATCTCCCAGATGCAATGAAGGCATTTTAAATACCTATACTATTGCATTCATGCTAGCACTGCTGTTTCATCCCTTTCACATTGGACGTGTTTTTCACTTTGACGGACATAACACGAAGTTGGGAAAACCAGGAAAGTAGCTGCTAGGCTGGAGAGAATGGGGAGACAAGAAACAAGAGTATGCATATTGCAGGACTTTTCCAGGTCCTGAGTCAAAAAGTTGAGCTCTGCTTCACACCTTGAATTTGGAAGGTAGCAAATGCAGTGAAGTATTTCCCCAGGAGAGCACAGGGCGAAGCAGGAGATGCATCTTTTTGAGTTGATATTCTCACAAGATGTGCTGTACTTTCCCAGTAACAGTCCAGCAGCTTTCACAGAAGAAATGAAAAAGGAGTGAAGATGAAAGTGCAGCTTCAGTTATTTCAGGCTTGCAACAGAGTGTGTTGGTTTTGTATCAATGGCAGTTATTAAGGGAAGAAAAAATTAAATTCTGAGGATAAGTCTGTTGAAGGCTTTGAATTCATTCCTTCTTTTTGAAAATAAAACCTTCATCAGTGATGTCAAATATGTTCCTAGTACTTAGGGTTTCTTTCCCCACCGGTTTTCCCCTATTGTTTCCTGCCAGCATGCAGATGATGGTAGTTTTAAATTGATTAATTGATATTTGCAGATAGGAAGGCAAGCTGGGTCTTTGAAACTGTTAATCTCATGAGACAGACTCCAAACTTTGTTTTCACAGTAGCAGATTTGGGTATTACCAGTTGGTGTGACTTCCTGTAGGCAAGATTTTGTGAAGAAAGGAGTACTTTATCTGAAGTCAGGAACCCTGGTTTCAGAAATCCTTTGTAGCTTCAGCACTACTATGGGGAAATAGTACCCCAGTCAATCATTCCATTCCTGCTTTATTAATAATCATGTAGTTATTAGAAAAAAGTTATTTTGCATGTTCCAGACTAAAAATGGAATGTCTGAAGTGTGTTGGTGACAGCAGGGAAAAAATTAGCCACTGTGGTCAGTATACATTGTATATACGATAGCATATATCTGTGGTGAGATCTTACAGCAGAGAGTTTAGTAAAAGTTTATGCCTACTGTCCAGTCTCACTTGGACTGAGCAGAAGTACAGTGCTGAAAGGATGACAGTCTAAACAAATCATAGGAAGGGTTACATATCTGCCCAGCAAAGTGTATTTATTAATATGAAATATTTTAAGATGTTGACTGGAAGTGCAAAGTTCTTACGCAGTTTTGTTTACAGGGGTCAAGTTCCTGCTGAGGCAGAAGTGAACTATTTAGGGGTGGCCAAATCCCTGGAAATGTATGGAGTGGACCTTCATCCTGTTTACGTAAGTATTGTTTGAATATTTTAAACTTGGTAACAATGAAAAAAAACTAGTGTACTATATGTGGGGGAGAGTATTTGTATAGTTTAGTTGCCACAGAATGACTCGAAAGGAAACACTGTACTGAGAGGAAGGCATATTTACAGACGGAGGGGATTCAGTCATTCTCATACATACAGAAGCCTAATGGTTTTCAAATTAAAGACTATGATTATATTACACTTATGAAAGACTATCAGTTATACAATGGAAAAAACAATTCAGATAAATAAGAAGTAATTAGTGCAAGTATCAGGAGACATAAGAGAGGTTTATAACCTTTGTCTTCAACACAGGAATTTGCACATTACTCTCGTATAAAGAAGAGTAAATGTGTCCTGAAACTTTTTCAATACCATTGCAAAAACTAGGGTGGAGTAGCAGCAGCATGTCTGGCTTTTTTTAATACTTGTAGAGGTTTTGCTTAAGATCCGGAGTACGTTTCCAGCTTTTCCTCAGCTGTATCAGGCAGCATTGCAAGTTGTCTGTGTTGCCTCAGAAAAACCCTCCACTTTTGTCAAACAGCGTGTAAGTCGGGATTGGATCCAAGTCATCACCTGGAGGCTATGTGCTCCTGGTTGAAACATCATTCTATCTTGTTTGAATAATTGCGCTTGTGGCAGGCTTTTCTGAATAAATGAAAACCAGAAGTTCAAATGGGGAGTTGTAACGTAGATGGTTTGCTGTGTTAGATGTCAGTTCTTTGTAAAATTACTTGAAAGAAAATACAGAAATCAAGATGCTACCAGGAGATTAAGTATGTATTTCCTGCTGAAAATTGTGTAGCCCACAATATGAAGTATTTTTTAATGCACGGTGTGGGTTAATTGTATTCATATCCCATGCTCTGTGCCCATCCCACCCATAGAAGGCTGGGGTAGTTACTGGAACAAGATTCAACATGATCCAACGAGATTGTGTTAAATTAGTAAAGCCTGGAAATTTTTTTTTCTCATAGCTTGCCTTTGCTATGCAGTGAGATCCCTACCAGGGTAATGAAGGGTGAATTGTAATATGCCCAAGTCTAACCCATGAATGTCATCGTTTCTATTTGTATTACAACAGCAACAGAAGCCCTCATTTGAGTCTGAAGCTGCACACCTGAGGTGATGTAGTTCTTCTCCTCGCTTGTTCATATTAAAAGTAAAGTTGCCTGTAGCAGTCAGTCCACTGAGGAGCACAGGCAGAGCTTGCCAGGTGTGCTTGAGCATTCTCACATCAGTAGTCACACAGAAAGACGCTTTCTACAGTCAGTCCGTCTCACAGTTGATATTTTTTGCAGTTCATGCTCTGCTAGTTTAGAGCTTGCAGGGCTCTTCCTCGTTGCCTGAAGTAGGCAGATGAATGAGCTTTTGCAGCTGACTTTCTTTCAACTTCATGCATTAGGATCTGCAGTCATTCAAGTGTACAACACATCTGATTTTGATGACTGATGATAAACTGGGGAGGCGAGGGCCACCTGCCACTCAGCACCAGGGCTGCTCAGCACCGTGTTCTCTCCAGACGCAGTTTGTGATTTGGATGCTGACCTCAGGAACAGTTTCCTTTGGAGGAGATGATTTGCGTGGCTGTTCTTTGCATGTCCCTAGCCGTTCTGAACAAAAAATGCTGTGAATCTCTCAAAGGAGCTACTTCACTTGGTATCAGTACGCAGGTGATACTATTTTAGGAGGGAGTAAAATAGGCCATAAACCCACTATTTACCTTCAGCTGAAAGTTGGGATGTCTGTTGCATTCATGTCTGAATAAAGACTTTAGTTCCTGAGTTTTGGCCACTTGCCAAGTAACCGAAAGTGATTCCTTAAAAAATAAATTATTTTTGTATTTCACCATGACATGTGGAATCTCCCGTTCTTTCCCTCACTGCCATTCCTTCTTGCCTCTTTGCCTCTGCCTACAAGTTCTAGGATAGAAATTTTTGTCAGTATATGTACTGCTTTCCCGTGTGTACAGAGTGAAACAGTATGTTCAAGTCAGTCAATCTGACTTCCACAGTAGACCTCACCGCTACAGTGGTACAACTTGCAAATGTATGAATAACATATGTTTTTATTTTCTAGGGTGAAAACAAATCTGAATATTTTTTAGGATTAACACCCATAGGAGTTGTTGTCTATAAGAATAAGAAACAAGTAGGAAAATATTTCTGGTATGTATAATTCAAGTGTGCAGTCTGTGCTAAAACAATAAGAGTGTTGCATGGAAATGTATGCTTTGTGATATCTATTTGGAAGGTTGATTGTATTAAAAAAAAAAGTATACTTGGAATTCCTAATCTTTGTGTGAATTACACAAATTTTTCATTCCTTGATAATCCAAGTATTAAAAAACAATTCACCTTTACCATACTCGTGCTGAAATATTTAAATACTGCTTATTTTCTGTTGATATCTGGTGCATACCTGAAAAAAAAAATCTACATGTGAATTTCTTTTTGTCTTTGTATGTAAATATGTAGAACTTTATATTTTGTTATGTATGAAATTAAAGGCTCATGAAGTTATGTCTTTTTTTCCAATGTTACAGGCCTAGAATTACAAAAGTTCACTTCAAGGAAACACAGTTTGAACTTAGAGTCCTGGGAAAAGATGTAAGTTTTTATTTAAGTCTGAAAGGAAAAAAAAAAAAAGAGTATTCGCAGGTCTAATGAAGTGGAAATTTTGTGTCTCCATCAAAATATGATTTATTTTATTGAAATTTAGTGCAAGAAACCATCAAAGTGAATTTAATTTTATTGATGGTTACTGCAAGAAACTTACCCTGTCCTCAAATGTATTATGTTCCTGAAGATGCTTGCAGTTTTGTTAAAGAAAGAGGAGGAAGAAAGATTTTCTGTCCACGTTTTGCAGGCAAAGGGAGAGAACTTCAGCAGAACAGCACTGAAGTAGGAATTTTATAACAAATCTTTTTATTCTGCTCTGTAAAGTAGACTACTTCTGCAATGCCTTGTTTATGTTGTTACATACTGCTTTTAAAGCAGGCTAAATCTACAAGGAAAGTTAATATTAAGCAAAATGTGGATGGTGAAAAAAATCACAAAGCTGTTAAGCAGAAGTAATTTTGTAGCTTGGAAACAGAAACATCCACTTAATACAGCTCAAAACTCATTTGTCAGTGATTAACTTCATTGTGCTATTAGACCATTTGAGAGAAAACAATGTTGGTTCCAGTGGAACAAGGATAGCAAGTTGATAGCAAGGGAAGAGGTTTTAAGATAGAGTCAGTGGAAAAAACAGAAAGATATTAATCACCGGTGAAGCATGTAGGGCAGAAGGAGGAGGAGGAGAGTGTTGTGGATGTAGGGAAAATTACTAAGTGTAGTAGAACAAATAGTTGCAGTCAGGCTGTGATTTTTGGTATCTGGTTGAGTTATTAGTTTAGTTTGCTGAGTTATTTTCTGAAAATACTCTGTAAGTCTCTTTGGAATATCAGGACTGAAAGTTCATAGTTTTGAAGAAGTATTAACCTGCTGGCAGTATGCCCCTATAGTGATTAGCTATGCACCTTCATTCATCTGTGTAGTGGTTGTTAGTCTTGTCCATGATTTTTTCATGTGGCTGTTTGGCACATTCAGTACTTCATGGGAAATGTAAGTGTACCCCTGACTGGTTGTCTTGCTTCTGCCGTGTACAGCATTTCTTGTGCCTCTGCAAATGAATTGGCAAGTTTTGCTTTTATTAGTCCCAGGTGGTTTGTTTCTATTTCGTGTTTAGATCTATGTCAAGTTTATTTCTGATGGCGTGTTTGTTGAAATCAGAGAGTTGTTTGAAGACTGGGGAAAGGTTGGGAAAACTTTTCTTAATGTTTCATGTGAAGGGTGAATGCCTGTTCATGTATAAACAAGTCTGAGTTTGACTTAGAGTGAATTGCATTGAAGTGATGCTGCAGTTTCTGTTTGATGCCACATATGTATAGTTTTTGTCTGAACCATGTGGATTTGCAAGGGTTTAACATGCTGAGCAGAAACCCTGGAAGCTCTGGAAAACATACTTAAGTTTATACTGTGAAAGTTGGTGGCTGGTGAACGCTTACTATTGTCATCATAAGGCAAACACTTTGACAGCACTTGGTAATTTCAAGTCTTGACAGGTACTTTTAGGAAATTGTTCAAGAGAACAGTAAGTACAAGGGTGTGTACCATTATTAAAATCACCTTTGCAAGTAATACTAATTTGAAGTGTTTCTACAGTGCTTTATAACCTAACAAAATCAGGAAAGGCCAAAATGGCCCAGAAAAATCTTTCTCTCCCTTTTTTTTTTTTTTTAAACATTCTGGTGGGGTTTGAACAAAATTATGTATTGGAATAAGTAAACAGTAGTCTTAGTCTCTGGATGAAAGCCATCATAACAATTTATGCTGTTCTGCAACCAGCGGAGGAAAAGCTCATCAGTGTATTTGCATGACTGTATGTTCCAATACTTCTTGAAAACTTAATTCACATACGTATTTTACTCCTCTGCTTTTTGGAATAAATGCTATCACTTTGTCTTTCCCTGTGGGAGATGAGTTTTTAGTACATGACAGTAGAGTAAATGTACCATTTTTACTTAATCCTGCCTCCTGGGATATCACTTCATGGCCCAGGAAGTTAATACTTTTCTTGTTTCAGATGTGGTATACCAAGTCTGGAATGTGTTACATGTTTCCAATTGGAGAGAATGCCAGAAAAATTTCAGGAAAAGAAGAAATAATGTTGGTTTTCAGGTGTCCTAGATAGAGCTTTATGTCATATAGCAAAGAAATTAACATAATGTAATAAGAAGAGCAGATTATTTCTGAGTAAACTGAGTGCTTTGTATGAATCATGTTTTCCGTATTGTATTGGAAATTCTGTGCAGGTTGGATTTTGGTTTGTGTTTCCACACACTAGCTACCTTTATTCACACTGATGGGTACCCTTCACAGGTACACCTGCTCATCAAGAGGAACCGGTTGATATTTTTAGTCCCAAGGAAGTGTTGTTCTTCCCCTTGGTTGCCCTTGGTAATTTCTTTGTTCTCCCTTTCACTAAAGTTGTCTGAGATTTGTCTGCAAACTTACCAAAACAATATGAATGTGAACTTCCCAGTGAAAGGGTGGAAGTGGACATCCTGATCTCCTTGACAGATGACAGACATGACAGTATAAGTGTACAGGTCCATGTCCTCAGGCTACCTTAAAAATACACTGTGGAGTGCATGTGTCAGCTATATTTATGGCTGCTAAGTTTGTTGTTTACATTGTTTCACTTTTCATAAAGTTGATGAATTACTGAGTAGGAGATATTTATGCTTACTGTCTTGAAGTAAGGAGCTTCACCTTTCCTGTTTCGTAGTGTAACTTCTTACACTGCTTCATAACTCTTCTATGAGAACATTTCCTTTATATTTAACTTCTTTATATTTTTCCTGCATGCCTGTTGCTGTTGTGTGCAATCATGACTTGGTATTTTGGTTTTATCTTTCACTACATGTATTATATGTTTCTCCCTAAAACTGTTGCTGTTGCCCCTCCATAAACAAAATACTGCCCTTAATATTTGGCCATCTGTGAGTTATCCTGACATACAAGACTAATGATATGAACTAGCTGACAGAAACTCTTTTTCAGTGGTGTTAATCACTGGATCAGTATTTCATTGTCCCCGGAGTGGACCTGTGCTGTGAATTCTGAGCTAGAAACATGTTAGGCTTTCTGTGAAACATCGAAGTATCAGCATAAAGTTAGGAACCCTTCACCTGTGAGGACTGCACAGAAGGATTCCCTGAACACGACAAACAATTGCAGAGAGTTTTAGAAGATGAGAAAAGTGTGTTCTCATGCAGTTTCCTTTAAGAAAACCGTGAGATCCATCTGATGCCTGTGCACAGCTCCTGGTAGCATAAATGTCTGTTGAGCAACCTTGCTGGAAACGATCCAGCAATACAGGTGTCTGCCAAAGCCCCTCTTCCCTTCTCCTCCCTCTCCTCCCCCTCCCCATGCAGCAAAACGGAGCCTAATCACAATGGGTGCACTGTGTAGAAGTGGGTAATCGAAGGGGTGCACAGCACACCTCCTGTGCTTTGCCCATGTGAGTACCACGGGCTAGGTTTCTTAGATTTCTCTTTCAACTAAGGACAGGAAGCAAAATAGAGGAAAACACGCTTTGATAGATTGTATAAGCTGGGAACATAAATGTAGCATGATGCAGGAGTGAGAGATGTGGAGCTTTTTTGCCTGTAGGTACCAAGTACTTCTGTGCTGTTCCCTGCAACCCTATGCTGTTTCCTGTAACAGCGCCTTTTACTTTGGTTGCACTGTGTCTGAACATGCAAGTGAATGATTTCACTCCTTCGCAGAGTTTATGCAAAACTTCTGTACTTGTTACTTTTCATGTTTCTCTTTCACCAAACCAGAAAGTGTTTAATGTGCAAAACACTTGCTTTCATTATTTTTTGTTGTAAGAGAAGGTCCTTCGGAAGTCTGAAATTTTTGTTTTGAGGGACTTTGAAATTTCAGTTCTTTCAAGTCAGAACAAACCCCCAAACTGTGTGGTTAGAAATGATTTGCACATTTCCAAGACATGCCTTCCTCTGCAGTCTTGCTTAGTCAGATGAAGAGGCCCAGCTCAGCCGAAATCATAAGGTGAAGTTGGTAAACTTTTATTTCTGGAGCAATACTAACCACTGATACATGCTAGAGGAACTTAAGGGCAATTCCAAAGCACATAATGCTCCCTATTCTGGTGGCTGAAACTTGTCTAAATACAAGATTTTTGTGTTCTTTTAAATAGTCTCAGATAACCCTGGAAATAAACTTTATTTTTTTAATCTGCTTTTTATAAGTGTCAGAAGCCTGAATAGTAATTACATTAATAAGGTGGTTCAGTTGTACCCTTTCTTGCCCTATCACACTATATTCCTTCTTAAGTTACAAGTTCTAGGCAGGAACTTTTAATTTGATTTATTCCTCTTGCAGTTTCTTGGGAAGATTGAACAGGATTTGAAGAGAAGCTCCTCCCATTCTGAAGTCCAGTTTAGTTTAGATTTCAATTCCAGACAAAACCAGCATTTTGATCATGGTTATGGTTTAAGAATTACAAATTACTTTTGTATCACTGTCATTTACAGCCACTTAAGCCAGAGTAGTAGTGGAGGGTGGAGGTGAGCAAGTGTTAATGCATCATGGTTTTGGTGTCTTTTGGTTAGTTGGGGGTTTTCTTGGTTTTTCTTAACCACTTTCTGAGCCATCTTAGAAGGATTGTAACATTAGTTCAAGGCTTGATAGCAAAATCTTCAGTAATGGACATTTTGAAGGAGAATTAGGATCAAAATTCCCACATAAACTTAAAAATTCTTTGCCACTTAAGGTGTTAATGTCAGCTTTTTTTGGTAAGCTCTTTAGTCTTTTTTTTAATTGGTTTAATATGAGGCTGAGATATGTTTGTTTCGATCGTGACATGCTTTACACAAACTGGCACAGCATTATTAATTCTAGTTCCTGATTTGTACAGTGTTCTTAAAGATTGACCTTGTGTAACCAGTAATAATATGTTGTCTGTTACCTAAGCTATGGTTGGTATGCATTATGTAAATATATAAAGACAGAATATTTCCTATTGTAGTTAATAA